GGGGGAGGAGGAGGGGGAAAGGGGGGGGAAAAAAGTTTGCAGTTTTAATTAGATGCACCAAAAAAATAAGAAGTTGCTCTGTCCCATCCCGATACCCCGCATGCAGGACTGGTGGCGAGGATGGGTTTGGGGTTCGTGGCTGGTCCTGGGAGAGGGGGACCTGTGCTGTGCTCTGTGATCAACCCAGAGCCATCGTTACCGCCCGGGAGCGATGAAATAAACCCCGAACAGACGAGCCGGCAGCGGGGGGGTTGGGGGCTCAGCGAGGTGGAAATCTTGGTGGGGACCCAAATAGCGAAGCGGATGTAGGAAAGGGGGCGAGGAACCCCCTGGGAGCAACCGCTGCTCTTTTAGGGAGGGTGGTGGGACACGGCCAGGGGGGACAAGGCAAAAAGCACCCCAGGTTTGGCCCCGTCTGCTCCATCCCTTCCCTACTGGTGGCCCGGCAGTGTCCCCACAGGGACAAAAGCAAACAGCTTCATCCCACCTTGCAGAAAGGCAAGCGCCGGCCGGGCTTCCCAGGGGCTGCAGCCTCCCGGCAGCTCCCGGTGGGGATTCTCCAGCGTCTCGTAATGCGGTTGAGAAGCCTGTCCCCCAGCGGAGCTCTGCTCTCCTCCATTCCCCTGTCCCAACGCCACGTTCGTGAAATTTGTTGGAGCTTTTCACCTTATCCTTCTGGGACAATTGGCTGGGCTTGGTGAGGTTGGCTGGGCAGCGATGGGGCGGGAGGGGACAGCCCCGGGAGGGGACAGTCCCGGGAGGGGAGTTGGAGGCTGCGGGTGCTCCCGAAAGTCTCCACTACCGGCCCCGCTCCAGAGCGAAAACGAGTGGGAAAGATGGAAACCTGAGGCGTGGCAGAGAGCTGCCGGCGGGGCCACGGGGAAGGGTTTGGGGGAATTTCGGGTGGTTTGGGGGAACTGGGGAGGATGCGCATCCCCTCCCCGGGGTCCACCAGAGGATAAAGTGGCTGGCATGAGTGGGCACAAAGCATGGCCACGCTCCATCCTGGGATCCCGTCGGGAAGCAGAACCGAGTCGGGGTGACCCAGCGCTCCGGCCGAAGGGGCGGCACGTCTGTAAAGGCTCCCAAGTTGAGGATTACAGCCTCCAGCTCCCAGGGATTTGCATATCAGCCAGGCGAGCGGCAGCCCCCTCCGGCGAACAAGGTCATTTCAAAGATAAAACAAAATACTCTTTCTCCCTCGCTGGCACGCGGGCCAAGGAGCCCCACGGCGAGGTCCCGGCACACCGTGTCCCCGCGCTGCTGAGCCTCTGGCGCAGCGGTGCACCCAGCGGGCAGCAGTTTTGGAGACCCAGAGGGCAAAGCCATAGGGGAGGCGAACCCATAGCCCCCCCAAAAAATGCCAAGGGAAGGCGAGACCCCGCAGGGCGTGAACAAAGGCACCCGGAGCAGCCCGCTTGCCCCCCCCGCTGCGCCGCATCTTCGCGGCTGCCATTGCTGACATACGGCGGATCCTGCCAGATAAAAAAGAAAATTCAGGCTGCTCAGAGTTTCCCTTTTCGCCAGCTCCATCCCTGATAAGTGCAGAGCCTGCAGAGCGCCTGATAGACGGGCTATCGCGGCGGTTGGTGCGAAAGGAACACCCTATCGCTGCAGCATCGCCGGACCGCCATCAACTCCCAGCCACACAGAAATTAATACCACTCCAATTACCAGAATAGAGATGGGCTGGGAGAAGGCGATAATAAAATCTCTTTTACATAAAGAATGCAAATAACCCGTGCCGGCGAGGGAAGGGGGGAAGGGGAGGCATGGCCAGAGCTGAGGCTTCGTGGTTCGTTTTGGGGAGCCCGCGGTTGACGGTGCTGCCGGGATATGGGGCTGCGCGGTGCCGTGACCCCTGGGATACGGGGACACCCGTGGGTTTGGCGTTGCAGCCCCCTCCCGCCCCGCACCGGGATGCCAGCGCAGGAGCGGGGAGCCCGGCGGTGCCGGGGGCAAAGGGCTGGGGAGCAGATAAGGAGGAGCCGGGGGTGGCCTCGCAGCTCCTTCCTGCCCGGCACGCAGGAAGGGCCGGGATATCAGCGGGACTGGCGAGCGCTTCCCCTTGGATGGGGCGGGAAGGGGGAGCGGGCCCACGGCTCCTCGCTGAGCCATTTCGGCAGCTGCAGGAGCACATGCGCTGGCAGCTGGCATTTCCCAGGGCTTCTCCATCGCCCAGCCCACGCGGGAGGCTGGTGGCCTTGGGGACACACCGGGACACCCCCCCCGTTGCATCCACCACCGAAGGGCGATGGCTGTCCCGCATCAGGGTCACCCCTTCCCATCACACGCTGCTCCACGGGGCTGCTCCAAAACCAGATCCACTGGCATCGCCCGGCTGGGAGCTCCCCTGCGAGGAGGGGGTGTGGGCAGGGGGCTGGCAGCACGAATGGGGCCCGAAACGTGGCACATCCACCCTCGGGGGTCTCGGCTCCCCCCGGTCCCATCCCCGTCTGCCTGCTGGGTGCCGTCTCCAGCGGACGCGTGCCCGCAAACCCAATCTGCGTGGAGGAGCCCTGACTGTAACCCCATCAGCGGGTCGGTTTGGAGATAGCAGGGCGATAGGGCGCGGGGTACCCACATGGCATGCCTGGCCTCGCAGGGCTGCCACGGCCCCGGCGGCCCCGGCGCGGAGATGCCGAAAGGGAGATAGACGACTGTATTCGTTCTTTGGGGTTTTGATAACCATCGCAAAACCGCTTGAGCGTCGCTTTTGTGGTTGCCAGGATGTTTGCAAAGTGCCCTCGCGAGCGCGGGGCGATGCAGGATGGGGTCCAAACCCTCCCTGCACTGGGGAGCGCGATGTGAGCCACGGGGCGGGCATCCCCGCCGCTCCTGGATCATTTTTTATGGTCCCAACAGCAGCCTGGGGACGTGGGGGACCACAACCATCATCTCGTACCTCCCCTCCCAGCAGAAGTGCTGGTATTTGCAGCCTGCCCAGTCCCCAGTGCTCCCAGTCCTCCTCATACTGGTTTTTGCAAGAGGAGGCAAATGCCTGGGGGCTGCCCCGGCTGCTCCAGCCCGTGGTCCAGCCGGGATGGAGCGGGATGACCGGCCGCACAGCGGGGACTCACCTGGCCCGTTCCAGGCGTCTGGCTCCCGCTGGTTTTCTCCGGGATCCAGCTTCTCCAGCTCCTTCGGCCTCTCCGGGGCATCTCTGGACTCTGCAGCAGGAGAGGGAAGGCAGCAGGTCATGCACGAGGAATTTCAGAGGCAGCATCCTCCAGGGGTCAGGACCACCGGACCGGCGACAGCCCGGGGCCAGGATGCGTGTGGGTTCACCCTCGAGGATGTGCATGTGCATGGGGGGGGGGTTCCCCTCGAAATCCCTGTGTCCAAAACCCCCCCTTCGCCCATCCCGTGGGTGGGAGTCCTTCGTGCCCCACAGGATGACCCATAAGGACAGCCAAGCCCACCCGTGCATCCTCTCTGGGGATTTCTCGAGCCACCCCTGGGTGGGCACCCACCTCCCAGCCCCAAACCCCCGCCGCATCTCTCCCATCCCACCGCGGGCCCCACATCACCCGGTTCAGCCCCGCTCCCGTCACGGCTCTATTTGTGGCATATTCACAGCAACTTGATAACAATTATTTTCTCCATTAACTGCTGCTGGAGATGCAGCTGATAAAGCCTATCTGCATATGACAGTGTGGACGATTAGCGCCCAAAGTACATGTTTGCCTTGGCGTCCCGGGCGGATAACCAGCGCGGAGCCCAATCGATCGGCGCCAGAGCGAACACCCAGGGGTGACGTCACCGGCATTGGAGATTATTAATACAGGTGATAAGCGGAATGATTAACATCAAATAAATCAATCACTGGGTATAAAAGTCCTATTATTTTTGGCTATAAATCAAAGTGCCTGGCATATCGATTTTTATCCATCGCGCTGAAAGCTTTAGTGGCCGTTATTGCTGCTCGGCGTTATCTCTGCTATCACCTTTTTATCGAGGCAGGCTAGTGCCAGGTGCAGCTCCGCGCCCGGGCTCCCGGCTCCCTCACCCCCAGCCTGGCTCCCCCATCAGATAAGAGCCGCTCGCTTCTCCCTGCTGCCGAGCAAAGTTTGCCGGCGAGCCCTCCCTGCCCCGGCCGTCGGGGTGCCGGTGTGGATCACCCCCTTTCCCGGTGCATCACGGGTTGGCTCCCGTGGTTTTGGGGGGACGCTTTGCTCCCTGGTGGCCGGTGGATGAAGGCAGTGGGCGCTTGCCGGGGACTGGCCGGCTCCATTAGCCGGCGCAGCCTTGCCCTGCTGCGGTTATCACGAAGGGCACTGCAAACATTAACTGATTAGGATTTGCCCCCGCCTCCACAGGAAGGAACTTAAAGGATATCTGGGGACTGTTTCAGCCCTGCCA